ACGGCTTCGGACTCGGCAGCCACCTGCGCCCGACTCCGCTGCCTTCTTGATTGTGTCTGGAAACCGGACTTAGGTGGGTGAAGGAGATAGTTCGGTAGACGCGGCACAAGTCTACAGTCACTTATAACTAATACAGGCGCAAATCCTCGCAGGCGCGAATCCCCGCACTCTGTGGACATCGTCGAAAACAGCGGTCGAACTTCTGTTTTCGTAAAAAATGTCAATTTATGCTATTTTGCAAGGGCGATGTTAGAAATCAGTGGAGCAGCATATGTAGTCAGTCAGCTTGAGTAAAACACGAAAATAGGGTCTCCTTCCTCCGTGGCCTCTCGCAAAATTCAAGGAAGCGTAAACATTTCCTTCATCTAACTCTTACGGAAGCCAGAGCCCTAGAAGTAATCTTAGCGTAACTCCAACCTTAACAATAACAGTAATCTTCCTGGAAAGTGCTGTAAGGCCCTCGAGTAGGGGGTTCATATTAACGTATCTTGCCCCTGAATGTTTTATATAGAAATGCAGTGAAAAGTGACATGAGCACTTCAGGTCTGTTCGCCCTTTGTCAGTCGGCAAGGCCCGTCTGGGCGATATGAAACGTCCTTATTTTCACTGGCAATTAGACAATCCCTCCTAAGTGCCACTCGGATCGAGAAAAATGCACACAAGGCTATATGTATGCAGTATTTTCTTTGCAATATACGAGGAACTAAACATTAGACAAGTGGATGCTTGCTCTATAAGTGTGTACTCACATAGTCTTATTTAGACTACTAAAGTACTAACCAATGTCAGTAATCGCAGCTGCAATCCACACAGCAGTGTTTGCCTATAGTCGTTTCCTTTGTAAGCAAATCAGTCCTGTACCTGTTTCATTTGACAGCCTGCGCGACTGAGTCTTCTAACTAACCAAACCCCTTTCTTGTCTTGCCTCAGGTGAATTACCTACTGAGGATGTGGTAGACGCTCTAGGTGATTACAAACCATCAGAGACACCGAAGGATGAAAACGAAAAAGTGCTGGAAACCGCTGGCTCGCCGGACCAAAAGGAATTGGATTTTGCTTTCGACAACGAGGAGACGGAGGTGCACATCTCTACACCGCGAAGGCGTGCGCAAGTGGAAGCTGCAAAAGCTGCGGCAGCCGGAAACGTAAGTATACCATGGGTGTGCGTGTGTTTCTTTTAGGCACACTGCATCGTCGAAAATACACTTTGTATATCCCAGCCGTACTCTTATTTGATCTCTTCCGAACTCTTGCCTACACCTCAACTGCCTACTGGGGATGAAGTCTGCAAATTATCATCCTATAAAAATTGTTCATTCACTTCGGGGGCCATTGCGCTTTTTGGGAGCAGCAACTCTGCTCTTTGTGTTTACTGCGCTTGGCAGGATATAAATGAGC